TCGCATGTCTTTTAGATTCACGCTTTGTAAGATAGATCAGTATGTTAAAGTGTTAAAAGAATTTTAAGAACTATTACACTACCAATCGGTGAAGAAGACGGATACAAAATTTTAACACGACAAGGGCCTTAGTGTAAAGTATGGAAGTAACTAATGCCAAATTTGTTGGTATTATTTTCCAATACTTCATGATTGTCACTTCGTAGACAAAACTTTGCCAATGGCGGTGATGTATACAAAATTGAAAATGTTTCTAACTTGATTAAATTCAGGAATGTGAAGGATATACTAATAAATGTCAAACAGTGAAAGGCCTCTTTATCATTTTCTTGTGTTTTTTTTACCGGATTTAATACTTTTTATCCGCACAGCCGAACATCACAGATGCTTTGAATGTGGTAACTGCTTTAGATATTGGCATCACTTGATTAGATTGTATTTCAAAACAATGCTTGTAAACAAGAAATTGAACTCACTAATAAAAGACGAATTTGAATTTGCAGTAATTATCAGTTGAGTGTTTTTACTTGACAGTAATGCAAGGGCATGCAGAGTCCCTAATTTGTGGATCGTAAAAATGGAATTATAAATTTTTATGCTCGAATTATGACAAACCAGTGAATGTAGGCGTTACATTAACAAATGCCTTATGAAAGCATTAAAGGCATATTATGATGCATTAGTGAAGAGTGTAGGCACCTGTTAGTTTTATTGTGCCTTCGTGCTTCAAGGTCCTGTTTTTGAGTGCTGCGCAATCGAGACCCCAGCTTTTGTTGGCGGCGATTCCTCAAAAGTCGACTTACGTAGAAGTAGCAAAAGGATATCACCACAGAGGGCGCCACAAATTGAAATACAAAACTGAGGATTGAAAATATCTGTGATAGAAAGCAAAACCAGCATCCACGTTGCTCGATTGCAGGTGGTTTGACGGACGAAAAAAATTAAAATTGAATAGACTTAGGCAAAATTGAGTTATTTTCTTCCACAAAAGTAGCTCTGGCGCCTGTTAAAACTTATTTTTTCAGTTAAGAACAAGTTTTTTAAAATTAGGCGACGTCGTCTTGTTTTTTATGCTAAATTTCTAGTCACCTTTTCAACAAATCCCAAGAAATAACATTGTGGCATCCCACTCCCACAAAGTCATGTCTACTGAAGGAAAGGCAGCTGCTGTAATAAAGCTGTTGCAGGCTTCAGCTTGCTAATGACATTTTACTTCCCTCAACAAAACTTCAATGATAGTCACCTTGAGGATGAATGGTGCTACTGAAGTACATACCACAAAGTAAGACAAGAGTCTTTAGGTGATTTACTATGTCCTGCTTATCTGCCGAGTGTCCATCAACTTAACAACATTACAAACATAAATCTTATTAAAAGATAGCAAAACCCTGTTACTAAATTTTGTAACGCCAAAATAAGCTTAAATATTAGCGATCTTTATCCGCTTGCCTCGGGGTTGATTTAAAAATCTGTTTCATTGCAATTTCTGTTATTTATTTGTCAAAGGGAAACTTTCTCTGCTACCCTTAATTAACCCACTTGTGTCAACGCGTTCCGCATATTTACGGTGTCCCGGGTACGTTTCAATAAAGTTCAAATATGCTGGGCGTGTATATTTTCCACGTTTGGTGATGGATGCCATTCCTAAAAATATTGAAATACACTGGTCATGTGTGATCATGGCTGCGCATACTCAAACCTTAAAGCATCCCAATTACTAAGCATAGGGCCGAATTAAAGTAAGATTACTATCTGTCGGTGTTGGGGGCCTGTTTAGCAGGATATAAAATATGCAATACACTCAAGTGCTAGCGTGTTCATGCTTCAATAAAAGCAACGTTATAGTTATAACATGTGCACACATTCCGCCAAGGCATAGCTAAAGATCAAGTTGGTAATAAATTTACTCACGGCTATGTAAATCTCGCCACATGTTTCTTATTGTAAGAATATAAGTATATTTTAACCTTTAAATAGTTTTGCTTTAGTTCAAGAGACTGTATTGAAGCCTAAGACTAGTACTTACCTGCAATCAGAAGATGTGATGACTTATAAAAGACTGCTCAAATTTCTACTTAAAGTTCATTTAGCTGATCACGGATTTATAAGTATAATAACCAGTTATTGGCACTAAAGTGTAAGTTATGAATCAGGCTCAAGACTGCATTTTAAATTGCGTCTATTAGAGGTACGATGCGCCAGAATGACACCCATTTTTATGTACACCAATAAAATTTAGCAGCTAGGATGTATAAAGCAGCAGTCTACCGCCTTGTAAAATAACCTCTTTTGGTAAATAAGGCATTAAATTGAAAAAATAAAACCATTTAAATAGACAGTTTCAGTTTTCGCTATCTTAACTTGTGAACTTACGATCTCATTGTTTTAGATTGACACTTTTTCTTGGTCTTAGTAAGGATTTTCAATAGAATTTTGGGTTCATTCGCTACACTTCACTATGAGTCGTGAACTGCAAAATCTCTTGAAAACATGCATTTCAAATTTAGTTTTGATTTTCATTGGACTCTGCCACTCATATTAGGAAATCAGTGCGATTTTTTTACTCCCACTTGCTTTTTAGCTTTCGTTGTTTTCCCAACACTTTCAGCCTTATTTTTTTGCAATCTTGAATGAGCCAACATCTCAACCTTGCTCTCTGCAATTATTCATCAATGAGAATTGACGATCGGTACAATTAAAAGGTTTCTAACTAATGTTTATGCACTCAGTGAGCATCTATTAGATTTGTCAATTCACGCATGGCTTATTCAAATTACAAATGTCACCCGCAAGCCGTATATGAGGGCGTTGCCAATTTAATTAAGATAACAAACCTTTAAGAAGGATACTGGTACTTGTAAACATGGTTAAAACAATTTGTACCACTCAAAACCTCCTATTTACTCCTAAAATGTAGGTCAGTGGTATTCTTTTAGACCTTAGCCACGTTTTAAGAATTATCAGGAGATGCTTATCTCTGGGAAAGTGCATGATGGCATTACTTTGGAATCACTATATGTCCTTCCATTGATACTATTTGTATTTAATACCTCCTTTGTGAGCCTATATAAGTTAATGAGTAGTGAAAATAGGTTCTTGATAAATCGTCAAGGTAGAAAAATGATGTGATGCGTATTTACGCAAATAAACTAATCACTAAACCTGATGTTAGTGCCACAAACATTAAACCGCATTTGTGGCAAATTGCGCTAAATTATAAGGCTGGTGGAAGGAATCGTGGCTCCTTAACATTATAGTAAAACAATTGTTAAGGAACACAAACTGATTAACAATTGATAGCGTACTTAATCGCTACCGAATACCAAGCCGAAATAATGGGCCCTCTAACAAGGAATTTAGGCCTGACTATATATCAACAGTTTTTTTTAATGAAGTGGGAATTTTGATGCAGATGCTGAAGCCCCATTCAAATGGCCCTCTCTGTAGCTTGACCGAAATTTTAAAATTCGATAAAAGTGGAGATTTCAAAAAAGGTGTTCTGAGTTGACTATTAAAAGCTTTACCCGTCTAGACTCCCCAGGAGGCCAGAATTCCGTACAAATTGTTACATTTAGGATGGGATCGACGGTAGTGGTTTGATGGATGGCGAGCGGTAGGCAGATGAGCGTGGCGATCGCCCAGATCGTAGCTATTATGGTTCCGCACATCCATTTGCGCATTTTTGAGAAGAAGGGATGCACAATGACCAGATATCGATCCACCGCAATGGCTGTAGACGTTAGTGTAGAGACATACACAGAAACACCCATGGTGAAGCTGAGGAGCTTGCAGAGAAGCTGAGGTAGCACCCATGTGTCAGAGAACACAGCAATGGGTGTGAATGGCGCCGCAACCAGACTCATGAGTAGGTCGGAGACAGCAAGGTTGGTGATGAAGAGGTTCGTTATTGATTGCATCGACTTGCAGCGAAGAATGACGAGGATGACAATGGTGTTACCCAACAGACTGAGTATCATAATGACGCCGTAAATGATGAAAACTACTGTATGAATTAGAGGACCCCATTCAAAGGTAGACACCTCGCCTGGAGGAGCTCCGATATTCGGCATTCTGTGGGAGACGTGCTGTTGGTGAAGTGCGCTCCTTACCAGCGCGGTTGGGAATGCTCAGACTATTGCAACGTTGCATGATGATTGGACGGGGGTAAGGAAATAGTTTTAAAAGCCTCCGACTAATCAGAAATGAGGCTGATGCAGTCTGTTTAGCACACTAACAGGACGGATCATTATGGGCTTACGGACACATTCCGTTTAATGCACGGGAATTGCTGCACTTTGGAAACCAAACCTGAGCTAAAATAACCAGCACATCTGTGGAAAGTGGGATAATTCACCTTTTATTAGATCAATTAGAAGTATTGCTTGCATATTTGTAAATTTGTACAATAATTTTGGGCATTGGAGATTTTAAATGCTTGAATTAGCAGTAACGGTTGATTTTCGGTTTGGTCTTTACTCAGCAGAAAGGCAAAAAATGTTTGGTTGAAATTATATATTCAGCACCTAATCCGGTACAGTTTCCTAAAATCTTAATTATAATCCCAGATTATCCCTTGTTCGATATTTAGATAAAAGTTCGTTTCTGAGGTGTTATTATAAAGTTAAATTAATTTTGAGTGAATTTCCATACCACACGGTGTAGGATATGTGGAAATAAGGGGCAACGTGCTTCCCACTCTAGTTTTTCCCAGAAAAATTGCAGCACTCTACGATCCGGCGAGCGCAAATCAAGCAAAGCGATTTTGGATTTTAAAAGCCTTATTATATCGGAATTTTATTTTGCAAAGAACTTAATTAAATGCATAAAATAGTGCAAAGATTAGTCAATTTGCATTGAGTCAGAGATACAAACAACTGCTTAGTTACTGAGACTCAAATTTAGTAGATAAAAGAGTCCTTGATAGATGCTCTCGTTCTCTCATACATGAAACGAAACGCCACGGAAATTACGGTTTGTCGCACTTTCAAGACTACCCTCTCAAGATCTTTGTTTACTCGTTCAGCAATATCATGACATTTAATGATAAAATGCGTGTTCGTAACGTTCTACGACTTTCCTGAAGACGAAAGAAAGCATAATACTCGGATGGAACATGTATTGCCAACGCATAGTACGACTTGGGGCTACCGGTATGGCCCAGAGGCCATGCCACCCGGTGGAGGTACAATGACAGAGCCTTTAATTATCCTGTGACTAAAACCGAGAGTTTAACAAACAGTCGGAATATTACAAGTATCTAGCGGTTCTGAGCATGCGTTTGTTGGAGGAATTGCTTATAAAGAATATTAGATAATCGTGATAAAGTATTCCGCGATTAGTTTCGACAATGCAGGTTTTTGTAACTCAATGGTAGATTTAGTCAGCCTTCGTCCAATAGATATATTTTGGTAATTACTAGACTTATAATCCTTTAATTGGCAGTTCAACTCTCAGTTTTCGTAATGGATCACTGAGGAGCTCCACCATTGTACGTTCGTCCGGTGGGCTGGCCTAAAGGCCATGCCAATAGTTCCAGACCGTACTGTATGTCAACAATCCATATTCTGCTGGAGTATTATTGTAGCGCCCCGAGACTTCCCTGAAGACAAAAGAAGACATACCAGCAGAGCGGAATACATGTATTCGACGTACAGTAGGGCTTGGGACTTCTGACGTTTCCAGAAGGCCAGTTTACCTGGCAAAGGTACAATGGGGGAGACTCAGCGGACCCTTTACCAAAACCAAGAGTTAAACGATTAATTTATTACATTATGTCTTCTCTCACCTTCAGAGAAGTCTCGGGAAGCTATACCAATACACAATGGTTTGAACAAAGGAAATGGTAAAATCTGTTTGCTTTTTTAGTTTAACGCAAATTGCCAATGCTTCGACTGAAGAAAAATAGAAGTCGTGAAGACATTATCGAAAGCATTATTTCATCTTAATGGCTAATTTGATGTGGGCAATTTCAAACGACGGAAGGAATTTTTACTTAGTAGATAGTGACGTTGTTTATGTTCCCTGTTTCTCAAACATTACCAACATCCCGTTTTCTTCCAACCTAACTCTTTTCAACCTTCCAAGTAAAAAGGAGCCTTGTTTAAAGTATTTGGTTGTGGGCAGATTTCCTTTAGCATTTTATGCGATTTTAGGCTTCCGAAAGCGAAAGATAAGCTTTAGCACAACCTTCATTGACACAATTTGTTGTTGATTTTGTTCAACTCCTCTAAAATTCTCGGATAAGAGATGAATTTTATCCTAGTTTAGCTCGAGTTCCTGGCAAAGTTTAAAAGTTTGTACTATTAAAAGAACTTGCTAATCGACTCCATCACGTAAGTACTTAAGTCAAAGTATTTCTTCCAAGACCAAACCATCTGGCCTTAGCTAGATATTTTTTGAATAAAAACTAGGAAATGATGGATTTTTGATGCAATCCAAACTGTCCTATTGCCTACTTTTCCACTTTATCCCTGCATGTCCCGAAATGGAAGTCGCTATGTGGACTCGCGAGCCAGACAAATGCAAATTGCGAAAAACATCTACTGCTGTCTGACTTTAGGCGCCAGGGGGTCGGTCGCCTCCCTGCCTGTCTACCGTTTAAAAGTGGTCATCCGTTTTACTGCAACGATCTGCGCAAAACAATTTCGAATTTTGCTAAACTCTACGACCATCCTTCTAGAGCTTGTTATTCATCCTACCAAATAAAATCAAATACTTTCATGAATCTTCACGTGTGTAGATTACGATCGCATGAAATACTAAGGCCAAGGTTGCCATATCTGAGATACTTTTTGAGCTAAATTTCCTTATCAAAATGAGCCATCAGTGCCTTAATCAAAGGTAATGCTCGTTCCAATACGTTTAAGGTACACAACTAATCCCAAGTGATGCCACAATTCGATGGGCACCACCACTCATCAGCCAATTCAGTTCCACTCATCTGGCACAATTACGTTACGACAAAAATAACTCCATTCATGGATTTTCAACATCTTAAACAAAACCACTCCATCAGTAAAATAGATGACATTCTATACGGGTCGCATACTTTCAGCGCAGGACTTGAAACTAGCGCGTCCACCTGCTACATTGCGTACTGCGCCCAGGCTATATCAGCCTTGGAAGCTTAATGCTGCTAATTAACTCCTGCCGAGTTAGTCTACTCCGATTATCTAGATAACAGCCTCCGTCGGTTGTGACCTTGAGAACAACCCATCTGCATCCTGCTTAGAGGTCTCGATTGCCCAAGCAAATCCCCCAACCCGAGAGAATTCAGCATTGTTGAAATCCGCTTAACTGCCTACTTTGGATTCTTGAAGCCGGTTTGAAGTTGCCATTCTTTTTGTTGTAAAAAGGCGGAATTGCTGAGCGTTGCCGCATCCATATGCTTATGTGCGATACATCTACCACCCATGCAGCATCTTTGATGACTGTCCTGAATACCGCCAAAGTCGTCTCTCTTTTAGCCACTACCTCCCCCTCCCTCTGCCTCCCATTCTACAAGGCCCCACAGGTCAAAACACCCACCACTTTGCCTGGAGGACCATTCAGCGCAGGATCAAAGGGAGCCTTGATGAACGATAGACATTGCTAATTTTTGCATGCATAGATCGTAGATTGTATTTTTGTGGAAAACAAAAGAAGCAGTGTGATGGAGGAATCCATGTTGAGCCTAACCATGGCGGCGTACTTTAGAAACCATGGTCCAGTTGTTTCGTGAATTGCAGGAAACACATTCATTAGCCATTTCCCCAATCTTCTGTAGAACAAATACACCACAAGTAGACACCAATATTTTATCTGAGTAAGCTCCCTACTCTACAAAATACCATGCAAAAAGAAACAACGCTACCCATCCTATTAATTGTCGTCTTATCGGTTTCTTTGTGTCGAAATGCTCTTGTTGCTCAAAGAATGTGGAATTAATCATCGCATCTGAATCCTAATAGGGCACTACTAGCAGATAAACGTCAACCTATAGCTCCACCTTGTCATCAATGAAGTACCTCATTCACTTGGACTGATTTGAAAAATAGCAACTCTCTCAATCAAATTAACCGCCACTAGCCACTTGAGTTTAAAAAACCTCAAATTTCTAAATGTTGACTTCCAAGGTTCACAATTGTGACTGTATTACGCAAAGCACACTTGACAGTTCGTGGTCGTGTTTAAATAATTGCAGACCCATAAATTGGGAATGCGAACACGAGTTCGCTCGTAAAAACAGATCAAAAAGTACATGGAGTTGTCTGAAGAGTGCTGTGTCAATCGCTTGAGATGTCTTTCACGCAGCCGGGGAACTTCAACCACCGAAATGCGTCACGTGGCAGAGCCGAGCTGGAATCAAAGTGGACAAAAGTGATCTGTGGTAAAAGTGGATACATTCAAAACTGGGTATGAAACGGCAACATGCTTTGACTTCCACTACGATTTCTAGAATATTAAGCCATGTAAAATAATACAGCGTAGGATGGAAATTGAAAGTGCTTAGTAGAAGATCATTTCAAAACTTTCATACTTCTTACAAACTGATAAAAAACTCCAACAGAATTTCATGTCCTGTTTTCAACGATTTTTGAGGCCAGCGTAGGCAAAGAAAACACAGTTAATATCCTAAGTAAGTAGACTACATTCTGGTCCACACAACAACACCCACTCTTTAGAACTTTTCTGATTTCATACTAGCTAACACTTTCATTTGTGGGTCTAACGGGTTTTATATATGCCGTCAAGGGCGCGACAAGCTTCTCGAACTGCTTTCTATTTTAGCACTGGTGAGATACGCACTGGCTACTTTAGAGTCAACTTGTGATTTCAACCATAAGAATAAAAATCGCTCGGAGCGCCCACATGCCGAGAACAATGCCCGTATGCCAGGAGGAATTAGCTAGCGATCACGTACCCCTAGCAGAAGAAAGGAGCCGCCGCATTCATCACCACGTAGATGGAAAAGGACAAATACGTAAAACAAGGGAAGTAACTTTTGCCGACATTTGTTTACTTACGTAAAGATGAGTAAATCCAACGAAATTTTGGCTGCACCCCGCACTGAAGAAGTCAAACGGTCAAAGCGCATGTGCACACTTTAGATGTGTCCAACACCAACAAGAAAAAGGAAATTTTGAACAGATAAAATAGCCAAAACGATAGCCACCAGTAAAGTACAATAATAGCTAAAGTGCAATTTTCAACACGAAAATGTCAGTAATGGCCGAAAAATGTGCAGAACAAAAGCTGCAAAAAAAAATCAAAATTATCAGTTTGACATTAGATGTTCCTTTACCCTCCGTAGTGAAACAGCTCAGAGTGAGAAGGGAATAGATAACGAGCTTTTCTGTGATTTTCAAGCATTAAAGAATACGTGCAAAAAGAGTGAAAACAAAATTATTTGCTGTCTGGCTTGGACACACTTTCCTGTACCTCTAGCGGTGACTTCACAGGAGGAGGGTTGGAAGAGGGAGGAGCAGAGGCATTAACACCAACGCTTGGGCCAGTACCCTCGATGGTCCCACCAGCACCACCGGCGCCAACATCCGTGACACCGGCGTTGCCTATGCCCTCTCCAGGAGCGCCAGAGGCTGCAGCTGCCGCAGTTACTGAAGGCCTGGCGAGCTGTTCAACAAGAAGGGCAAGACAGCGCTGGGTCGCCGGCTCATCTACTAGCTGCGCTGCAAAAGTGTTGTTGCGCAGAGCCTCCGGCAAGCAGTTGCGCAAAGCGTCACGCGCTCTGAAATCCAATTGATAGTGAGTAGTAACAGCACTACCAGTACTGTGACCTCCAGAGCTTGCGATCAAATTTTAAACTGTAAAATCCTGAACCGCACAAGCAACCATTAGTCGAACCACAAGGAAGAATACGGGTATTGCATTTCCCTTATTCAAATCATTTGATATACATTCTACATACCATATAATCATAAAAATATATTTATTCTTCAGGAGAATGAAGTTAGAAAATAATGCCAAGTATACAACTCAGAATAAACAGTAGTGAGTATCCAAGAAAATAGCTACTGGAAACAGCGACAGTACCTTGTAAAATGGTAAAAATCGTCAAAAAACATAAGACACTTGCTAGCACCTTAATCATAGTCTATTTCCTGCCACATTTCAGGCGTTTCAAAACCATCCAGGAGCAGCAAATAGCATGAAGCTACTAGCAAATATTAACCACATGCCCATTTATCTACTGAGTGAGCTCTAGAAAAACAGAAGAAATAAAAACTTCACTGTGTGCATTACCTCAAATTAACTAGTGAGCGAATGAGATAATTAACATTCCAGTTTCCTTTGCAAAATTTTTATTTGTATAAAATAAGAAAAAGTGGGGCGATTTCACACAATGTAAAATAATGTTAATTACGCAAAAAAGGCTACCTACCTTCATCACAACTCTACCGAAAGCATAGTTGAAGATAGAGAGGAGTACTAAAAACATCGTCAAGAAAATATAACTACCCAATTTCCTTCACCATAGAAATCTTGCCAAAAACACCTCGAGAATTCGTGCCGAGATAAGACAGGAAAAAACTAGTCAAGATCATGGAGGTTAGCAAAAACAGGAAAAAAAATTACAAGTACAACATCAAATCATCAACAATGTCAGATCGGCAGGGCGGTTGGATAGTGAACAAAAAAGATCTCTCCAAATTCATCAAGACATCTCACTTGAGGAGTAAAGCCTTCAACAGCGAATGGAAAAAACTTTTTAAAGAGCTAGAAGTAAAACTTGCCTACAATGAAACGAATGGAAGATTAACACAGCAGAGTAAAAGAGCATTTGTAATGACCTCATCAGTAATTTATCAAGTCATGAAGGCTACAGTCTTTGAGAAGGATTATGGCACTTCTCATAGGCAGCAAGGAGGGTCAGAAGTAGAGACTACTTGTACGAATTTTACATATTCTGAAGACGTGGATTTCACAACAACATTAATACTAGCAAGTAACCCCAAAACACCGAGAAAAATATTGGTACAAAACACTAAATGAATCATTATAGGGGGAATAAGAAGATTGCCACTGACAGGGTTTCATATTTGATATTATACACTCAGCGTGAGAAATAACGTTCATCACGCTAAGCTAAGAGAGCTGTGGTCGATGTGACAAAGAGAAGAGGGTTGTAAATTACGGCGGTCGGTAAAGTTAGTGAACAAGGAAATGATTTATTAGAACGTATCTCGGACCATCGACAGTTTAGCATCAAATTCATATTCCTGCAAATAAAATTCTGAATGTGCCTCGAAGCGAAGAAACAGTTTCAAATAAATTTGAAGCTCATTTAATGAGCATGATACCAAAGTTTCGTTATTTTTTGCGATCTATGGAAAGACCCTCATGATTACTTAACTAGGCTTTAAAACTTGCCCTACTAAAGTGATACCATCCCTAACCGCCTCATGCGAGAGTACTCAAGATCTAAGCGAAAATCTAGTCAGCGTTAGATGTTTGAAACCCTCGTCATCTACCCAATGACAGTTTCGGGATATCTTCACCACTTTCCTTCCCGATAAACTTATTTCGCCCTCACTACAATTCACATTGGTGCTATGTAGAGGAGTAAGCACTCCCTCCGCTAGGCAACAGATAAGTTGCTCGATCCTCAGACTTAAATGACGGGTCGAAGGAGGCCATAAAGCATACATCGCAGCCTTGTGGACAATTCGTGAAATAATTAAACACGTGTATCATTTACCTAAAGGAGTCTGCTCATGGTAAGCTCGTAACACGATTTTCTAAGGTGACGAAGCGATTCGGTAAATAACCACAGAAAGGGTACTAGAAAAGGTGTCGCCATGTGCATGAAAAGTTCATTTTTTGTTATTGTCAAACGGAAAATCTGCGTTTAGAATGGAGTAATCGAGAGAGTACTTTACGCAAAACCAGAGAAAGCAGTGGGAAGATTGGAATAAGTACCTACCATCGTGCAAAAAAACAGCCGTTGGTAAAAGCACGAATCCCTTTTCAACGAACCTTGGACTCTAGGTTCAAACAAACCACCAAGGATAGAGGGGGAGAGGGGATACATTTCCTCAAAATTCTATGGAAAAATGATAAGGACGATAAACAGGAACACAGACGGTACTTACAAAGCATTAACTATCAAGTTAAAGGACAAACAGGAACCTGGCCATATTATCGAGTTGAAGCAACAGGAGCTGCAGAGTACCCTTCTGCTAATGCCTTAGATGTCATAAGAAACATACTTTTCAGTTGTGTTATGGGCTTAAAATTGTAAGTCCTATATTGCTGGCACCAAAACAATTACTCACTGGCTTAATTGGAACATTTTCACAATGAGCAGATAGGCATCGTTGCATTTACGAGGAAATGCTATGTAGGAAGATCTACTTCGTCAGTTCCACTACTGTGTCAGAAACGATGTAAAGAACACAGACTAAATGGAGATCTAAACATTTAAAACGACTAAATCTTTGCCGACTTGTCAGATGGGATAAAAAAAGACAACCCTAAAATACTTGGTTGAGCAAAATAAACTTCCCCCTTCGATCTTATTTAAGCTATTTCACGAACTACCCTTTTGGGATTAGAACAGGAGCAAAGCCAACGAGCAACACCAAAATTTTCAATAAGAGCAAATCTATTCGGCGGCGAAAGTATTTCTTACATCTATTCAGTTTTTTATCCCGTGTCCTGCCTACCTCTACCTGCTCGATACTCCAGACACAAGCAATGTGATTAGGAGTTAATTACGACAAATTATCAGGGTACCATAATTGGTGTTGCTGCCGTTGACGTATTTGGGTGAAGATTAATGACGGAACACAAATGTAAGTGGTAAAAGACCATCAACCTTCCAACAGTGAAGATAAAAATCATATCAGAAAAAATGCCAACGATGAAACAAACATTCAGTTCGTGAGAGAGAATTGCCCTGCATAAAAAACCATATTTTGTGGGACTTCAATGGAATAATAATAATTTTTAAAGATGATCCAAGCCGAGTTAACAACAGTGTGGCACAAAATTAGTCATAGAAATGCAAAATTTTGAATGATTACGAATCCAGTTCGTCCACACTAAAAACAAATGCTTTATGTTAATAAAATTTAATTTTCTTCCCATATTAATAGTACTCTTCTATTCGATGTGGATTACATGCGCTGTAGACAAGCTAGTGTCCAAAAGCGATGAATATAACTTTTATGATAGTACGGTACCTTCAGTAAAGAGGAATAATGAGGCGTATCCCATCAGATCACAAGACTTACACATAATCACAGTTATTGGTATACCCCATCTCAACAATAACATCACAAGGGTGACCCGTGCAAGACACGCATCTTCGAATTCCATGGAACCAACTTCCACATAATTCATGCTGTGTTCATAAAAACACGTTTTGCAATGAACTCAGGCAATTGAAATTATGTATTAAATGGTAAATGGATGGCATGGGTTGAGGGAGAGAAACAAGATCAATCTCACCTACCTCTCCATCCAGTGAAGCAAAACTCAATTCACTTTTGCCAGAGGCATTCATCGTGAGCCAATAACGAAAATACCTCAAGGATATGACAGGCAGAGCGGTGCCTTACATACCGACTGTTATCGCATAGGCGTTGGTAGCATCGGATGACGTGCTTTAATAGCCGAGTAGACTGTTCCTTCGCCAATTGTTCAACCATGGACGAGAGTACAGTGGCAACGTGGGCGAATCGCTCATAGGTATGGCAAATATACTCCAGTCCGTTGTTGTCTTGCAGAAGTTTCTGCATTATGAAAGTAGCCACCTAAGGATAATACATGGATAACATTCAGATGTCCGCCTCATGCGTACCTGGTCGACGTTCCAACAAACGTTAGTCATTATTATAAATCAGTTGATGATAAAGGTAGTGAGTAAATCACCCAAATTGATACTTAAAAGTAACAAGCTACTATGGGGTATCAAAACATACACCTTTACCTACGGTGCTGACTCAACTCACTTTGATGCGACCTTTTACCACCACTCACTACGATAAAGGACGTAAATTGACAAGTCCATTTAGCATTTTGGTAATGAGACAGAAATTTGAAAGATCCACAACTCCCAAAAATCCTTAAACTAAGGATGTATTAGGAACACCCATTCTGAATTCAATGCGACCAGACCTATGGCCATAATTTTCGTAAAGGTATTGATTCGACACTTCCATAACGCAAGCTCAGCTGGAAACAAACCCATAGAATAAAAGTATTCTAGTTTATTGAAACTAATTAGAGCAAAACTATTGAAGATATTCATAAACTTCTGAGTATCCGGTGGAAACGTCGGAAGCGGCACAATAATGAAGAACCGAGATTTTGTGCTTTTCAAGCAGAGCCGAAACTGGGATTCTCAACCAGCCTAATATTTATGATAGATCATTCACTCTCATACAGTTTCATGATTTTCCACCCAAACAGCATTACAAAATCGACTGACCACTTCACGTGCCTAAACCCAATATAGATTAAAGCTGATCGTAGAGAGCCCATCTAGATGGTTCAATGACCTACCCTTAACCGTCACTGATGAACGATAAGTTATTGCAGATAAGCTAGCGGTGTCCGCTTCTTATTCGTCACTTCAAGGGAAAATACCGTTGCGGATGTGCAATGTCTTGAATTTTGGTGCACTTTGGTTCCTACATCTACGCCTAAAAATAAGTTAACTTTTACTCCCCCTCCAAGTTGATTATCAATCAAAGCAAAATGGGTAAAATTGGAATTTTGATTACAAGGAAACCACTACTTAAGCAATCACTTGAGATAGAAAAGTTTCACTTATGAACATCGCAATTGATATTCCAATGAAGTAAAATCACCAAGAAAATTCATAGCTAAATAAAGAATTTTAGATGAATCAGACTGTGTTTAGTAAAGTGTACTGTCTAAAAGAAAACACCGCTACTACTGGTAGTAACAACAACGCCCTAATTGCAGTTCTGGGTTCTAAATGGAAGTGAATCCATCTTGTGAGAATCAAGGAACGGAAGTCAGATGCAAAATCTAGCTTAGCGCCTTAGTTAATCTAAATTAGATGGGAAAACTAGCTATCAGATGATTGAGAAGTGAGGACGATCAGATCAGTTAATTAGGTAAGTTCTATTATGCCATTAGTAGTACAAGAACAGAGCATAAGGCGATTTCATAAATAAGAAGCTAGGCATAAGTTCAAGATTTGCAAAGTATGTGACGTACATTACTCAAATATCATGATACCGACAATGAACTAAGAAAGCTGTTCGGCTTAACCATCTGAGTTTGTTCGCTTTCAATTAAATCACTTACAGTACACGCGAACCGTGCGTTGAGAAAGGAACTTCAAAGTAACCCATCCAGTGTGCAGAAAATAATGAGCTATGCACCTAGTCAACTGAAAATTACGCTAATGTGGAAAAGTATGCGCTTAACAAACTAATCAATGCAGAAATCAAAGACTAGTTCAAAAATCTCATTACAATGAATACCACATGAGTAACTACAAGGTCGTGACATCAGCCTCATTTCGTTCCATTTCAGCCATTTGTGCTTCTAACTTTTTAATTCCCTTTTACCAGGGATGTCTATTTATGGATATCTGCAATAATAACGCCCTAAACAGGGCTAGTCTAGAGAGCACGTTACCAATACCTGAAAAAATCATTTTAAAAGATGGCACATAGTCCAAAAAATCGCTTACTCATCAAATTATAGTAGAAAGGGGGACGATAATGGGACAACAAGGATAAGTGCTTGTGAGTATCACAGCATTTACCCCCAAACGATTTTAACAGCATATATTACAAAATATAGCAGATATAAGCATCGTAAATGCAAATGTAGAGGTAAATTATAAAACTGTACGGTTACCGTTTTACTCAGTTCGCTGCCTGTCTCCATAATATGCAAGCAGAGTGGAATTATCTCGGTGTTGAGAAGGAAACTGATTACATCCGGATCGTCAGTCTGAAAAAGACATACCATTTACACACAACTACAATTAAAGGATTCGCAAAGGCGTAAGTCTTTTGATTAGGCCAAAAAATCGTCTAATTTGAGGCACAAACCTTAGCCAGCGCTCCGATGACACCCAAACTAGTGAGTCGCAGGTACTCGAATGGTCGATTCCGACTGTTGGTGCTAAGGAAGTTATAGAGATAGAGAGGTATTTGAGCTTTGAGGAATTCAGTTCGCGTGACTGGATGTGAAGCCAGACATTGTAGAAGGGCGAGCGCATTGCACACCCGGTTTGACTGATGAGCCTGGTAATAAAGATTGGCATAAGTTGGATATGGCTAAAAATGTCATAAAAGAGAACCCGTAGGCTTCAAATATTAAGTACACGACACCATCATTGTGGGTAAACTTTTCAAAACTAAAGCGAGATAGTTTTAACCGTTAAAAGGTGTCCTAATTATGAACTTGTCTGAATATGTACGCAATAAACCCCTTCCAAGGAGTCGAATCCCATAGACTTAGACACCAGGTTAGGAAAAATGCTTTCAAAAATAGTAAGCATGAGAAAATACTCCGGAATTTGTAAGGAACAAGTGAAATAAATCGGACTTCAAGCGTAACACACAGTTAGATTCGGAGGGCTGATGTAAGGATACACAGCAGTAATCTCCTGGAGAAGTGCAGCCACAGTCCCAAACGCGTACCACAACAAAGGAGCGAAATCTGGAAGAGATTCGCGCATTTTACTGCAAAAAGTATTCAGTATGAAATACACTTACCACAGTTCTAGTAAGGCCTTCTCTCGGGTTTCAAGACTGCTTAAATTATTTACCCAAGTGTAGAATTCCACTTCAGGGTTACCACTTGAAAGTCCACCTTGAGCATAAAGGATGTTATTGAATAACAAACCTGAATCCTTAGAACTATTACCAGCCATCAGCTGCATAGCTACATCAAATAAACATTATACACCGAGGGGTCGAATTTGATATATTTAAACTCTGAATAATTTCTACCAGTGTTTAATACAAAAGTTATGGAACTCATATAATATCCATATATTGGCTTGCATCTCGTTTGTTAGAATAGTCTTATATGAATAAGGAGCAAATTTCAGTTACCTTTGCAATTTAACCAGAGGTTCAGGAGTAGCACTAGCATTTGTTACTTGTCGTGCTTCAAAATATGCTACACTTACAACACTTAATCATCATTGCTCAATTCCCTGTGTAGTTTGCATCCTATAAATAAAAGAATCTGCAGCTTATTACATAGGATTGGAATATTGCTTAAGTGTGAAGTTTATCTTACTTGTAAAGAAATTGCTTCGTTCGGTGGTTTGAAAATCACATTCGGATTAAAATGGACCAATGCATTCCTTAGGCCTACCAAGGGAAGTTCCGCCATGATTTCTGGGAAGCCGTCAGCTGGATTGCATATCCTTCAATTCACGTATTCAATCTAGATGTATTTTAGGGATCAGAAATGCTAATCTTGTCGGTGTTGCAGTGAGCAGGAAAAGTCCGAGATTGTATACGGCGAAAGGTTTAAGCTTAATTGCGTTTTAAATATTCAGTGCTGTCTTGATGTCGAATTATTGATTTGAGACCAAGGTTGTGTTTGGTACTAATTGAAGAGCTTAACCCAACAAACTCAAATTATGTTTAACTCAACCAATTTCGGCAAGTATGTATTTCAAAGAAAAATGTATGCTGATTGCATTCAGTACACAATCTTCAGTAGCGCTGCGAGATATAAATGCGGCATGCTAAGTTTTGCAGGTGGAATAACTGCTCTCCTCCTAGTCCCGACAGTCACCTTTGCCCTCCTAGGCGAAATGTCACTTATATATGTAATTGTGTTTAGAGAAAAGCGCCCATTTCGGTTTGTCTATGAAGCTGAACAATCCGTTAACAACATTGCCTTCGGCATCTATGTGTGCTGCCTTATGACGTTCCATAGTAAGGGGCTAGCCTGGCTGGGTTACAAGTCAGAATTCATAGAGAACAAGAGCGCTACCGATTGCAAAGCCTATCGCTTCCTCTACGGTTTCATCCTAACCTGCATGGCCAACACAAACTTTATGAATATGTATGACAGGGCAATCACGGTCAGATGCAAGTGTTACGCCCCCATTACCAAGTCTAGTTACATTCTCACACTGAATGTACTCACTATCAGCTCAGTCGTTCTCTCCCTTCCCATATACATAGTCAGCGGTCACTGGGTAATCGATGGCCGTATTGTCTGCAGCGCAGACCCCGGCTGGTCAAGACTCACCTTGACAATCTTAGCTGTGCACGATGTCATGTTCGTCTGCGGCCTGATGCAGTCAATTGGGACGCTCATCCTCATCTTCTCGATGGCCCGAGATCTGGGAAAAATGGACAACACTATAGACTTCCTCCAAACTGCCACCCTGTCCAACCAGGTGCGAGCTACTACCACTGATGCGGCCAGACTCCTTCGCGTGGCTCAGCGCGACTGCTGGGCCTCGCTTGCGTACAACGGCATCGCGGCCCTAATTGCCTGTCTCCGCTCCATCTGTCGTGCCAACTTCTATTACACCATCCTCTGCGACTTTGAAGACAACCGCTCACCAGTAGGAGTAGTCGAAGTCTACGCCTTCGACGCTGCCGAGGATATAACCAAGCTCATGACAATTGTACTAGCCGGACTTCACTATTCAATTTACTTTTACCATATTCCAGGCGCGCGATTGTGGGTAATTGGGGGCAAAGATGGGGAGAGCAAGGAACTGCAAGCGATGCGAGAACACCTTCCAGAAAACGTGACACTTGATAACATCATCAGTGCCTTTAATCAGTGCGTGCACCAAGCAAAGAAGAGCAATAAGTCAGCACACAAAAATCTGTCCATATTCAAGTAAGAACCCAAAAAGACGCCCTACTCGACCATTTCAAAAACGAAGCGATGATTTGCTTGCTTCTTTAAAAGAAACATTTTTTGGTCATTTTAAACCAAAAAGAGCTGAGGGGAGAGAACGAAAGACGGAAGGGATGGACGAGATGTCAAAAGGGGCACTCTCACATATACATATCTTCCCAACCAGGTGGGAGGGCGGAGTCGGGATCGGGATTATTGAAGCGACTGCCACGAGGGCCAATGCTGCGTGGGGGGATCATAGGTGGACCTATAGGATCGAAGCGCGAGCCAGGGGGCACCATGCCACCAACACCAGCGAAGCCGTCAGGACGTGGGAGTCCGAAGGGGTTGCGAGGTTGGCGCAGAGCTTGTGTAGGGTCAATAACCATTCCACCTGTACCGCCCAGTCGTCGTGTCCAGTCGTCCACTCCCAAAGGATCAAGGTCGCTGCGGCCGTAGCCTCGTAGAACTGGATCCACCCCGCTCACCGAACGATTGGGCTTAATAAAATTTATCAAGTCTGAACATAGCTCAGATTCATGAAGGAAGAAGTGTATACTAGAGTAGTGCGGTAAAAGTTGTCAGCTGATAGGAAGCATACAGGTCTCTGAAGGGACTATTCATATGCACAGCTAAAATAGCGATTTCAGGTGAAATACGTAAAATAGCATGTATTAGGCGAACAAATATTGTTGATGCGGAGTAAATTACAAACCAATAACATTAAGACAGAGCTACGTACCGGTGAGTGAAGCACATTAGGTGGCAGCGGATCAAAGGGTACACCTCGAGAACTTGACTTGGCTGGCTTTGGGAGTACCACTTTCCATAGGTTCTCGTCCATCTCGGAGAGGGTGAACTCAAGCTGTGAAAATATTTCACCAGGCTGAAGGACACCACCGGACGACGCGGCCTCAAGGCGGACGTGGGCGGGTCCTGATAGCTCCAAATGACCAAACTTATCTGTTGTTGTGTTCGTCAAATTCACAAAGACATGATCGTCGGTTTCAGTTGCAGAAAGCTGAAGCTGAATATTGTCAAAACACTACAGTTAATCTAAACAAGACTGTGGACGTAAATGTGTCGGACATTTGGTGGATTTGCATAGAGGGAACTATAGAACCTTATTTACCACTTGCTCAGGAGAATTACGGGCGGAAGTCCCAAGAGTTACATCCATTACATCCTGAAGCCGATAATTAATTCGAATAGGGTCATTCGAAGCCCACTCGTTCGGTAATATGGAAGCAGACTGCAAATGACTTGTTCCTAATAATTTGGCTCCTCTTGCAATTAAGCAAGCATGGCTCAAAAGTGCTATGAAGACAGATCTTCGGCCGTTGGCTTGAGCACCATGTAAGTTGATTACATAGTCAAGTATGCTAGACTCAACAAGACTTAACCGAACCTTTTTCTCTGCAGATGACATGGCAAGATGCTATCCCGAGATTTCGTAATGGCCGGGTTACGCCGAATTGACCAATTAGCATAAGCCAATCATTCGTTTAGTGATGCTGGGGCTTCAAACTTATGACCAATCATGAATAGGTATAATTTGTTTAATCCGATAGCAATGAAATATTTTTTAATTTTATGTGTAACCAGTGTTTAGTGTTAAAACTCGTCACATGGAAATAGTTTTGTTTAGGTTTGATTGGTTGAAACCTGATATGATCTCACCTGAGACGGCAGAAAGTTGTCGCCGCCATATTGTGGTCTTTCTCCGTTTCCTTGAGTACTTTTGGTTGGCTTTGTTGTGTCATTTCGGTTGTAGCGTTGTTACTTTCACAGTCTAGTCAACTGGAATGATTCATACGATGCACAGCGTCGCTGTCACCACTCCTCAATGACTAACACCGGGTGTGCACATTAACCTCCGTCGACAGCCTTACAGTGGCGTAACCCCCCGAAGGTTGGGCTACTATCTCAAATGTTGATTTGTGTGAACCATATGTTTACATATTATTGAATAACCTAAGTACAAGTAATACAGCTTTTTAAAAGTGCCTTTTAGAGTTCTAAGTTTGTATGCATTCACAATTGCCAAGCCAAATGGATAGAGTGCACTCGTTGATATTAGAAGGCGTCAGGATCAATGCCCAACGATAACATAAATGCTGTAAGCTATGTAGTCGGATTCGCTACCTCGTCAGAAAAGCCAGAGGTAGTTAATAAAGGAATTTCTTAATCCATGAGCGGTGCTTTTCGGCGACGGATCTCAACGCCATGACTTTCACTCGTTTCAGGTAAATTGTGTTCACAAAAACTAGCTCAAATTCATCGGAATTTTGTCCAATGGTTACTCATTCTGCTGCCTTATAGATTGCAAGTTGGCACCACGAGATGTACGTCAGGTTAGCAACTTCTGGCAGTGTTGTCTTTGAAGTCGATATAAAGGTTGCCCGACAGCCTGAAGTGATAAGCCAGATGCTAGATTGTATGTTTGCCTACACGTTTCATGAATGGTGCACGCCTTGACATGTGTTTTCTTCCCTTTTGTTTTATGTCTTATCTTTCGTTGAATGAGCCATTTTCTTGCCGGTGTTGGTACAAATTTCGTTTCATAAGGTCAGTGCGAATGCTATAGCCAAAGTTTCCTGGTCCTATGGTTTTTTCGATGTGCTCTTTGAAAAAATGAATATAAACAAAGAACACTGGAAATTGAAGTTTAGTACATCCGGGTAGCTTCAGATTTCCTCCAATGTGGGGGTTTAATGCTAGGCATGTGCCATGAACTAGCACAAATTTCTTAATGGGTTTTCAATTTGAAGTCATCCTTACTAGCTACATTTCTCTTGAACTGAGTTGTTGTTAATGTTATGATGCCAGTAAAGTTGATGATTTCCAATAACGTTATCTTAAATGTGGGTCCCGAAATTGTTCGGTGACCGGGATGCCAAGAGGTATTCTGGATAGTACATTCCTCATTTGTTTCTTCATTGCCTCTTATTTTGTTATTTTTGAATGGTTTGGCTTATCACCAAGGGTACATGCTTTTTGTCGTCTTTTTTACCGATTTTTTTGCAATATTTTGCAAGCACTGTGACAACATTTTTGAGTGTCATGCCTACGCATGGCTGTTTGTTTCTTCGCGATGGGCTTCAAGCAATGACCTTTTTAAAGGTACAATCTAAGGTGTCATCATACTTACTAGAATAATAAGCCACCCAATTAACTGAAAAAGGAACCCCAATTGTTTCCTTTTTAAATAGTGGACTCATTTGCTAAAGCGTTCACTTTTCCCTTGGCTAAAATTTTAGATGGGGAACCTGAAATAGAAGGTGAGGGTGGACCAATCCTCCTGCAAACAATGAATTCAAATATGGTCAGGAAAGTGCTGTATTGGTGTGCATATCACAGAGACCGCGATGAAAGCAAGGAACACCGGACGTGTGACGTTGCTAGCTGGGAGCGGGAGTTTTTCCGAATTAGTGAATCTTCTGTATTTGACATTCTTTTGACAGCTAGCTGCCTCGTCATCAAGAATCTTTGTGAAATGTGTTGCCAAGTTATTGCCAACTTGGCTAGGCGTGGAACACATCCAGAAATTCGTAGACTCTTCGATGTTCCCTCTCAGGTAAAACCAAATACTTCGAGTAATTAATGGGACTCTGCAATAAGTCACTGTTTTCGTTAGTAGTTCATGGATTGATATAACGCTTTTCTCTCGTATTAAAACAGCTAAAAGCTTTGTACACTATGTCTAATTTCAAGAGAGTCTTCGCAAACTTTGTTTGAAATTTACCTGGAAATCAAGGAGAGAATAGGCGTTTCCTGAAGGAAGTTGGTGCTCGGGGCAAAAATGCCTCTTTCAAATTTTCCGCAGAATGGTACTGTTTTTGACTATCTGGGCTGGCTCATGTAAATTGCTAACGTCTTCGTGATAGTCCAAAAGCAGCCGCCTAAAAACTTGGGTGAAGTTTTTCAGTGTACACCGAGATACCGAAAGTTGACGTGCGATAGTATCAGGCCTCTCGGTTGATTGGAGCAAGGGCTCATCGTTTTGTTCCAACAATACATAAATCAGTACATAATGACAATACTATCGATGCACAACTCAAATACTGAAACAACATTTAGACTTTATGCTGTCTGGACTAGGCAATGTCACCCTGATACAGGGTTGATCGAGCATACACACCCAAGTGTCGTGCACCGCTACACCCTCCCTGAAGCGATAGTCACATTTTGAGGCAACCTTACTAGTGAAGCCATGTAAACACGAAAGGTGATATTGATTGTGAGACAATGAATAACTGTAACACGCTGGTTGTTTATTTCACTCTCGGTTTTAATGTTATTTTGGATCTGCCATTGTACCTTCACCGAGCGGCCTGG